TTGACCCTTATGACTGGTTTTGTGGTCCAGGGTCACATCTATAATTATATATATACACATATATTATTATTATTATTATAAAGTGTTACCATTATATTAAATGTAAAATTAAAATAAAAGAGGCACCACGATAATTGTGATATAGCTTATTGCGATTATCTAATCAAAGACTGCAGTTTAATTAAATAACTGTATGCTTCTGAGTCAAGCATAGCGCATTTTGTTATTAGAATGATCAAATATTAATTTATTTTACAGCACAATTGTAATTTACAACAGTAATATATTTCTGTCTTTATTTTTATAAAATACTACTACTAATAATAATATGTTTATAGTTTATAATTTTTGCCCACATTATTGAAGTGCTGACTGGTCTTCATAATGTATGGAGTCTTTTCGTTTTTGTCCGTTTTCATCCAGCCTTGACCAAGAAACTCCCTGGAAAGTAAAACATCTCTATTAAACATCATGCAGTGCTACTAAATAGTAAATCACCAACCATTTAAGAATAAAGCACTCTAAAGTAAAGTGATACACTCACTCGTATGGAATATTCCAGAACACAATATGGTCCAGTAGAGTGATTTGTTCTGCTAGTTCCATCGCCGACAGCGACTCAAAGCATTCGACTCTTGGACAGTCGGACTGGAGAACACACAAAATTACACTGAATGAATAAATGACATCTATACGCACAAATCAGAGAGACTTCAGTGCTGCAGTCACACTAACCATGTGCACAATGTCCTCAATCTTCAGCTGTGAATCATCTTGTTCTTCTTGAGAAAGTGCACTGAGGAAAGATGAAAATTACTAAAAGAGTAGTTCAACTAAAAATGAACATTTAAAAAATATAATTATTTACTCATCACATATGATGTATTTGTTTACCCATTAAATGCGCATGTTACTATTTAAATCCATTTCACAAAATTGCATAGATTCCCCCCAAATCTGGGTGTAATAAAGAAATTAATATTTTTAGTCTGCAAAAGTGATAGTAAAGACATTTATAATATTACAAAAGATTCCATTTCAAATAAATGCTGTTCTTTTGAACTTTCTATTCATGAAATAATCCTGAAATTTGTTTTTTATCATGGTTTCCACAAAAATGTGACCCTGGACCACAAAACCAGTCATAAGGGTCAACTGACTCAAGGCATAACATGAAAGCTGAATAAATAAGCTTTCCATTGATGTATGGTTTGTTATGATAGGACAATATCTGGCCGAGATACAACTATTTGAAAATCTGGAATCTGAGGGTGCAAAAAAACAAATATATATTGAGAAAATCGCCTTTAAAGTTGTCCAAATGAAGTTCTTAGCAATGCATATTACTAATCAAAAATGAAGTTTTGATATATTTATAGTAGGAAATTTACAAAATATCTTCATGGAACATGATCTTTACTTAATGTCCTAATGATTTTTGGCATAAAAGTAAAATCAATAATACAATGTATTTTTGGCTATTGCTACAAATATACCCCAGCGACTTAAGACTGCTTTTGTGCTCCAGGGTCACAAATAGTAACTGTTTCAGCATTGATAATAATCAAATGAGCATATTAGAATGATTTCTGAAGGATCATTCATGTGACATTGAAGTAATGATGCTGAAAATTCACCTTTGCATCACAGGAATAAATTACATTTTTAAATATATTCAGATAGAAAACAGTTTATTTTAAATTGTAATAATATCTCACAATATTAAAGTTTTTAATCGCATTTTTGAACAAATAAATTCAACCTTACCGACCTTGAACTTTTGAATGCTAGTGTAAGTGCTTCAACTCACTCAGGGGTGAGTAGATGAAATAAAATTGGGGTGAACTATCCCACCTTTCAGCGAGACATCAAACTAATTCTCTCAGATGTGTAAAGATTTATCACTCACGCAGCTGAAGCACACAAATGCAGTCGGACTGACAGATAACATGTTCTCCACCTCAGTATGTTAGCTGCGGCCTTCCTCTCCTGCGGCAGAAGATCTGGATCTCGCAGCACCTCCTCCAGCAGAGCGATCACAGCCGTCGTCAGCTCTGCGTTCATCTCAAAGTCCTGCACAGACCAACACAAACACAGTGCTTCAGGGAGGATGCTCCTGTAATCCATGCACTCCATGAACGTAAACATGACCAACCCAACCATTACTGCTGAAGAAAGGACATGAACATCGGTCAATCTTTTTTCGTCCTCTGAGCGAGTAAACCCAGATGCATGGATTTGTACAAATCTGACTCAAAAATGGTGTTTGTGTGCATGTAACTGCTGTTCAAAGGTTTGGGGTAATTAAGATTTTTTTTCAATGTTTTTGAAAGAAGTCTCTTCTGCTCACCAAGACTGCATTTATTTGACCAAAAATACAGTAATCTTGTGAAATAGTATAATTTAAAATGACTGTGTAAATGACTTCTATTTTGTTATATTATAAAATGTATTTTATTTCTATGATCAAAGCTGAATTTTCATCATCATTACTCCAGACTTCAGTGTCACATGATCTTTTAGAAATCATTCTAAAAGATAAGCAGATTTGACTGGATGCGTGTAGCTGTAGTGCAAAGTGATATGCTGCTCTGTTCCTGACATGAGTTAACAGCGCGGGGCCCTCGGGGGTCCGCTGACATTTCAGCGCAGTCACTGCTGCACATGATGAAGGACTGAAGCACAAAGCAGGTCTGACAAAGGCGTGAGACACGTCACAGCAGCTGTTTGAAACTGGTGGGCCGCAGGTCTGTCCTGATGGGGTCACATGCTAAATGCAAATCATAAAATGCAGCTAATAAATCATGCATAGGTGGAATAGCATGGTAAATCAACAGTTTGAGTTTAAGGACATTTTGTTTACTTTATTACAATAAGCAATTTTGGTACTTATGTCGGGTCACCAATCACTCTCCTGATACAAAACCAGTTGAGATCCACTGAAGACAGAAAGATTTAGAGTAAATGGAGAAATCTATTTACAAATGAGACACTAAAAAGTGAAAAATAGCAATATTTTTTACTTTTTTAAGGTAAGACACCAGGCAAAACCATAGTTTTTCAGGCGCTGGTCAATTTTATTTTGCTTCGATGACACATCTTATGGATGCTTGTTTCCACTGTGGAATTAAAAAATTAGAAAAACTTTTTAGCTCACAATTCTGACATTTTCTCCTGCAATTGTGAGATAATATATATCACAATTCTGACTTTTTCTCCTCAGAATTGTGAGTTTACATCTTGCAATTTTTTACTTTTTTTCACATAATTCTGATTTACATCTCACGATTGTTTTTTAAATCTCATAATTCTGACTTTTCTCTCAATTATGTGTTTTTTTCTCACAATTTTGACTTTTCTTTATATCTTATAATACTTATAATACTTGTAAGTCATAATTGTGAGATAAAAATTAACTTTTTAACTTTTTTTTTTATTCTGTGGCTGAGACAAGCTTTCATATGTCTGTCTTCAGAATATTGGAAAGAAAACATCCAATATACATATTTAAGTGTTTATTTTATTACACTTTATCTATTTGTGTATGTATATATTTTACCACTTGCATATACCGTTTTATTCATAACTATGTTCTGAAAGCTTTTACAGAGGAGTTTGTTCATATTTTTTGGAACATTTTATTTCCAAAAAAAAAATGGTGAAAATTTATTTTTTTCTGTCTGTTGACAGTACGTTCTGATTTATGGTGAGATAACTATCTTTTTATATAATATTAAATTTTTTAAAATAGAAATCTAAAATCCCCTCGGCTAAAACCTTTAATATGTCAACAAAACAAGAATTTTGAACCTGGCTTAATCCAATGTTCAGATTCATGTTTTGGAAATATAAATTAGTGCTTATTTAATTAGATAATGCATCATTTGCAACATTGCAACAACATTTAAGGAAACTTCAAATACAAAACAACTGATGAAAAAGTATGGTGATATCTATTAGTCAAGACTTTTACCCTATTCACCTGTAGTGTCTTACATCCTCCTTGCAAGATGTGTCTCCATTATGACTGAGAAATCACTCAAGGGCAGGACATCAGGAACTAAATAACAGGCTGAAAATGATGCAAAGTCAACAAACCTGCGAGTGTTTGGAAACCCAGTGGCGCAGGACGTTGAGCACCCTGTTGGTAGCGGCCCTGCGGATGAGGAACTCCTTGTCGTAGGATTTCTCAGGGTTGGTAAATCCTGAATGAGACACAGTAGGAGATTTCTGTTAGATGAGGACGAGAAAGCCTCCCCAGAGCTGTGTCACGACTCCTCAAAGACCCGATGGGAGATGTGTTTCAGCGGCCAGGGCAGCTGTCATCAGCCATCAGTGTCTCTAACCTTGCGGGCTGCTGTGTCCAGCTGCGGCGGTGGCGGTGGCGAAGGCGGACGCGGGGGACACGGCACAGCGGGAGCTATCGGGAGACTGACCTATGAGAACATGAGCAGAGAAAACAAGTCACCATATCATGGGAAATTTGATTTTCTTGTTTTGAAATATGAGTTTAATCCAGCTAACGGGGAACGCTCTCAGAACATTCTGGCAACAAACATTCTTTCAGTAACGTTAATAGAATGTTTGTTCAAAACATTCTTTATACAGTACATCCTTCATGGAACGTGTTTCTTCCAAAACATTTTAGTTGGAAGTTTGTCTAGCGTTTTTTTTTTTTTAAATGTTACATTTCGGAATGTTCAGGGAACATTCAAAAGTAATGTTTGCGAAATTATCAAATGGAATGTTCCTTTAACAAGAAAAAAAACATGTTAAAACATTTTTAAAAAACTGTAAATTTTGAATGTTCAGAGAACTTAAAGGGATAGTTCACCCAAAAATGAAAATTGTATGTTTATCTGCTTACCCCCAGGGCATCCAAGATGTAGGTGACTTTTGGCGCTTTTCCACTGTGTGGTACGACTCGGCTTGGCACGGCTCAGTACGGCACGGCATGGTTCGGCTCGGCACGGTTTGCGTTTCCACTGCAGTTCAGTACCGCTTTATAGTGGGTGGGATTATTCACATGTCGTTATAGTTGCGCCGCCTCTACTACCACGACTCCTAAAAAAACTTTTTCATTCCGCGTCGCCCCATCAAGCTCTCGCTGGATCCGCTCCTCTGCTATCAACGAGAGGAACGTCTGTACTTCCACAACAGACAACAAAACTTTTTGGTTGTTAAAAAAAGGTGCGCTCGTTCAAAACAGTTGCGTTCGATCCTTCGCTGGCTGTGCTGATTTAAATCTAGCGGTTCTGTTGTGTTTGTGTCGCAAGTTCAGTGACGCAGGTAGTGACGATTCTCTCCGGCCAATCCGTGATCAGCAGAGTTTACACGTCACGTTTTGGTAATGGTACGATTCACTTGGAACCCCAACCGAAGTGGTACTAAAAAAAGTACCAGGTACCAGGTACTGTACCCAGTGGAAAACCCCCCAAAAGTGAACCATACCGAACCGTACCGTGCCGTACCATGCAGTGGAAAAGTTTACTCTCAAAGCCGTGGAGCCCATAGACTGCCATTATATGACTGACAGACTGCAACGGTTTGAGTTAAAAATCTTCGTTTGTGTTCTACTGAAGAAACAAAGTCACCTACATCTTGGATGCCCTGGGGGTAAGCAGATAAACATCAAATTTTCATTTTTGGGTGAACTATCCCTTTAATGGGAACATAAGCTAAACATTTTTAGAACATATTTTTGTTAGCTGGGAATGTATTCTCATATCCTTTTTCCCAATCCATGCAGAGTATTTATTGTTAATAAACTAATCCAACTTCATGAGGTGCATTTTGGGATGCTTTTTAAACAGTACTGAAGTAGTTAATTTGCCGAACTTTGATTTATGCTTTTCCTGCACAATCCAGTCCAACTAATGCATTTAAAAAAAAAAATGATGAAATAAAAATTTTATTAAAAAAGAAAAAATATATTTTTGTCTTAATAAAATTAAATATATTCCAGTCAAGTGTGTCCAAACATTTGATTGGTAAAGGTAAAGTATAAAAAAAACCCTGTTTAATTTGGTTTTAAAAATTATGAACTTGGTTTAGGAAACCTCGACCAACTTCAGCGAAAAACAAAATGCTACTGAAGTGTACAATATGTATAATTCATAACTTAATGCTTACAGTCTGCTAAAATAATCAATGAAAATATAATATTGAGAAAGGCAGTACCTGCAGACATTCGGTAGCGGAGGTGTCGCGGGGTGGACGGTGAACGACATGGAGACATGTCTCCTGAATCACTGGACGTGGTCGTCTCAGGAATGAACTTATCCAATGATACTGACTCCAGTACAGCTGTCAGGAACATCATACAACATCAGTCATGTATCTATCTATCTTCACTATCGCACCTAGCCATAAAGTCTGCTTTTTCAAACACTTGGGGAAAAAATGGGTCATTCTGAAGAGCACAGAGAATTCAAGCATGGTGCTGTGATAGGATGCCACCTTTGCAAAAGTCATTCCTGCTAGATATTCCATAGTATTATTGGAAAGTGGAAGTGTTTAGGAACAGCAGCAACTCGGAAGACCACCTAAAGTAAAAGAGCAGGTTACAACTGCTGAGGCTCAATGCAAATGAGAGTTGAAGAGTTCCAAACTTCCACAGGATTAATATCAGCACAAAAACTTCGTGGAATGGGTTTCCATGGCCGAGCAGCTGCATGCAAGCCCCACATCACCAAGTGCAATGGCAACTGCTGAATGGAGTGTGTAAAGCACAGCACCACTGGACTCTGGAGCAGTGGAAACCTGTTCTGTGGGGTAATGAATCGTGCTTCTCTGTTTGAGAGTCTGATGGGTGAGTCTGGGTTTGACGGATGCCAGGAGAACATTACCTGCCTGAATGCAGAGTGCCAACTGTAAAGTTTAGGGGAGGAGGGATAATGGTAAGGGGTTGGCCTTGGCCCTTTACTTCAAAATGTCAATGCTTCAGCATATTTTGGACAATGATATGCTTCCAACTTTGAATGCCCTTTCTTATTCCAGCATGACTGTGCCCCAGTGCACAAAGCATGGTCCATAAAGGAATGAACGCCAATGAACACCTTTGGAATGAACTGGAATGGAGATTGTGAGCCAGGCCTTCTTGTCCAACATCATTGCCTGACCTCACAAATGCTTTTGTGACGTAGCCAAGTATGGTAACTTGTGTACACAAAATTTGTGCTCTTTTCACCCATCCAAGTGCATACACAGCAGCAAGTAGAAAACACCCACAGACACCACTGACACACACCCAGAGCACCTCAGTCGTGGGTATTGAGGGTGGAAGAGAGTGCTGTTCATTCATTCCTCACACCTATATTTCCTCTCAGTAATGAGAATCAAACCTGCGACCTTTGGGGTACAAGCCAGACTCTCTAACCATTAGGCCACAACTGCCCCAATAGTGGGATTTAAACAGGTCTACAAAATTAAAACACAATGCTTTATTTACTGAGCTACCATGAGTCCATGGATGAATGGGCAAAAAATCCCACAGAAACACTCCAAAATGTTATGGAAAGCCTTCCCAGAAGAGTGAAAGCAGTTACAGCTGAAAAAAGGGGACCAACTCCATATTCATATGTATGTATTTAGAATGCACTGTCATTAAATCCCTGTGGGTGTAATGGTCAGGTGTCCCAATGCTTTTGTGCACATAGTGCATCTATCTAACTTTCTGTCTATCAATCCATATATCTTATTTTCTATCCAGTATGAAGTGAATTTGCCTTCTGAAGGTTAGCGGACCCAGAACGACTCTCACCTCGTCGAATACTCCGTCGCAGCTTCCCACAGAAGGCATCTATACGTGGCAGCTCCCCGCTCTCCTCTGGGGTGGAGGGGCTGAGCTCGGGGGAGCTGGGGCCCCGGCTGAGGTCCAGAGGGGCCCTGGTGCAGGTGGGTGGAGGGGAGGTGATGCCGGGGGTGTAGGGAGACATCGGGCTGCTGGCCGCAGAAGAAGTGGCCGTCGACAGGTCCAGAGCTCCACCCTTACAGCTCACAGGAGAGCTGAGGGACAGCTTCCGCGGGTGGATGGGGGAAGAGGTGCGCGAGGGGATGGAGACGGGCAGAGGAGAAGAGAACTTGCGAGACAGATTGGGGGATTTGTTGTTCAGGTGCTCTCCGCTCCAGGGGCCTTGGTTTGTGGCGAAGAAACGCTCGAGGGACCTGAGCCATCAGCATAAGATGGAAACAAGTGAATAAATGCACCGCACAGCCAGATCTGCCCTTACAAAAATATCTATCTATCTATCTATCTATCTATCTATCATTCTAGCTATCTATCTATCGTTCTATCCATCGTTTTGTCTGTCTATCCATCAATCCATCCATCCATCTATCTATCGTTCTGTCTGTCTGTCTGTCTGTCTGTCTGTCTATCTATCTATCTATCTATCTATCTGTCTGTCTGTCTGTCTGTCTGTCTATCGTCCTATCTATCGTTCTGTCTGTCTATCCAATCCATCCATCGATCTATCTATCGTTCTGTCTGTCTGTCTGTCTATCTATCATTCTATCGATCGTTCTGTCTGTCTATCATCTATCTATCTATCTATCTATCTATCTATCTATCGTTCTATCCATCGTTCTGTCTATCCATCAATCCATCCATCTATCTATCCATCTATCTATCTATCGATTGTTCTATCGATCGTTCTGTCTGTCTGTCTGTCTATCATCCATCCATCCATCCATCCATC